GGTCTGATTAAAGCCCCGTATGCCATCAGCAGTGTTTTCTTATCTGCTCTCCAGCAAGACTTTTAAGCAGGTTAATCCTTCCTGCACATTGATCTTTAACATAGGGTTTTATGACCTTTCTAAAGTAATTTAGTATCAAATATTAACAATAAGAATTTGAACGTTGTAACTATATCTGTTTGTTCTACATACAGATACAGTTTACATTCCTTTGCAACTTTTTTTTTCTGTAAAGACCAGCTCTTTGGTTTTAGCAATGGAGAACGCGAAGCCCCACATATATCCCCAGCCAGAGGTCTCTCCTAACACGTTGATTCTCTCTTCTGCCACCTCAGTAATCCTGCTCCTCATGCACAGAGCACAGTCATCTCTGAATAGAATGACACCTGCCCCAGCACTTATTTGTGTTGGGAGATCATTTACAGATCATAATATTAAATAAGGTTGGGTTGATAACACTTCCCTTTGGTGTTCCATTTTTAATATTGTACATATTCAACATAACTTTCCCAACTCTGCCTGGTCCTTTTACTCAATAATTCTCTAATCTACCCCTACATTCTTCCCCTTATCCGTAGTGCACCTACTTTGTACAATAAGCCTTCCCTCCATAGCAGGTCATACGTCTTTTCAATACCTAGAAAGACAGCTATCATGAAACCCTTGCACCTCATGGGTGTTTGTATTTCAGTTTCTAATTTAGCAATGTGAACCATGGTGCATCTGCCTCTCCTAAAACCACTCTGCACCTTATCTGTAATGCCACTGTTTTCCAGATAGGCAGCCAATCTGTCATTAACCGTTCTCACCATAACGTGGGGGCAAGTGGCCTATAGGCATCCACTTAGGCGAACAGTTTGCCTGGTTCTCATATTGGAATTACTACTCCATGATTCAGTTTTATTGGTCTGGTATCACTCCTTTTTCCCATAGAGTGTTAAATAATTGCAAGATAACTCTCAAACTGCTGCCAGAGAGATATTTAAACGTTATGTTACATTTATTATCTTTACCTGGGGATGTATTCTTGCTGATATCAGTAGATTTCTCAAGTTCTCACAAACAAAACCATTCATTCAGTATAGTAGCCTCATGTTTACCCCAATGAATTGTCTTTTAATCTGAAGGAAAATTTCACTTGGGTTTTCATCATTATTGACCCCTCAGAAAGTGTCTGCTAAAACTTCTGCTTTCTCATTATCAGAATTTCTTACTATGTTGTCAGTCCCAATAAGACCTGGGAAGTCTTAGTCTGAATTCCAATATTTCTTCTAATTTGCCTGTATTTTTCGGATGTCTTGGTATCTTTGTTTATCTGCCCACAGTACTTTCTCCAATGCTCCTTCTTTGATTTTTTTTTATAATTCTTTGTGCTACTGCCTTACTTCTTTAAAACTTCACTATTCATTGTATTTTTTGCTTTTTTATTGTCTTTGTTCTTATTTTTAACTGCCATTTTGCACTCCTCATTCCACCATAGAAGTGAGTCTTTATTTTTGGGGTACTTCAGTATCCTACGTATGGCTACAGTAGCTGCTGCTGTTTATCCCTTTATTACATAATCATTGAAATTCTCTGTCTCATCACTCACACAATTATTATTCACGAATTCAATACATTTACTTGTAAATAGCTCCCAGTTAGCTTTCTTAATTTTCCATGACCTTCAACCTTATCATGCCCTTAAAAGTAGTAAAAGTACTATTGGGAAATTATCATACCCTATTCCTTCTTCCTTATATATTTTCCAGTTGCATCTACTTGCAATATCTGCTGTTATAATTCCCAGGTCTAAGCAGGAAAAACTACCCTCTGCTGCATTAAATCTAGTTAAGGTGCCATCTTTTAAAACCACTAGAGCATTTTAATCAATCTAAGCATACACCATTTTTATCACTTGTCTTACTTCCCCATGATTTATTATGACTATTTAAGTGGTAAAGAGTCCTGTAGCACCTTATAGACTAACAGACGTATTGGAGCATAAGATTTCATGGGTGAATACCCACTTCGTCAGATACATGTAGTGGAAATTTCCAGAGGCAGGTATAAATATGCAAGCAAGAATCAGGCTAGGGATAACGAGGTTAGTTTAATCAGGGAGGATGAGGCCCTCTTCTAGCAGCTGAGGTGTGAACACCAAGGGAGGTGGGCACACTACGGCCTGCGGGCCACATCCACCCTCAGACCGTCCTGCCCGGCCCCTGAGCTCCCGGCCGGGGAGGCTAGCTCCTGGCCCCTCCCATGCTGTCCCCCCTCCCCCGCAGCCATGCTGCCACACGGGCAGCACTCTGGGTGGCAGGGCTGCGCATTCATACAGGGCAGCGCGGCAGTGTGTCTGGCTCCAGCCCGGGTGGCGTGGCTGCCAGATATGCTGCTCTGAACAGCATGGTAAGGGGGCCGGGGCCTTGGATAAGGGGCAGATGGTCCTGGGGAGCAGTCAGGGGACAGGGAGCAGGGGGCAGTTGGATTGGGTGGAGGTTATGGGGGTGGGTGGTCAGGGGACAGGGAGCAGGGGGATTGGTTAGGTGTGGGAGTCCTGGGGGGCCTGTCTGGGGGTGAGGGTGTGGATAGGGGTCGGGACAGTCAGGGGACAGGGAGCAGAGGGGGTTGGATGGGGGTGGGGTCCTAGGGGGCAGTTAGGGGTGGGGGTCCTGGGAGGGGGGTGGTCAGGGGACAAGGAGTCGGGGGGGTTGGATGGGGGTGGCATCCCAGGGGGGCGGTTAGGGGCGGGGATCCCGGGAGGGGCGGTCAGGGGACAGGGAGCTGGAGGGGTTGGATAGGGGGGTGGAGTCCCAGGGGGCAGTTAGGGGTGGGGGTCCTGGGAGGGGGCAGTCAGGGGACAAGGAGTAGGGGAGGTCAGATAGGAGGGTGGGGTCCTGGGGGGCAGTTAGGGGTGGGGGGCCCGGGAGGGGATGGTCAGGGGACAAGGAGCAGAGGGGATTGGATGGGGGTGGCATCCCGGGGGGGGGCGGTTAGAGGCGGGGGTCCTGGGAGGGGGCGGTCAGGGGACAAGGAGCGGGGGGAGATGGATGGGGCAGGGGTTCAGAGGGGCAGGAAGTGGGAGGGTTTGGATGGGGACGGGGGTCAGGCTGTTTGGGGAGGCACAGCCTTACCTACCCGGCCCTCCATAGAGTTTTGCACGGCGACTTGGCCCTTGGGCCAAAAAGTTTGCCCACCCCTGACCTAGATTCATCATTCACGACTGTGAAAAATGTCATGCTCAATGTGATGCCGTGAGATTGAACTAACCCCCACTGTAAAAGCAGCTCGGTCCACTCAAGATTCTTCCGTTGACCTAGCTGCTGCCTCTCGAGGGCATAGATTTACTACAGTGATGGGAAAACCCAATCCATTGCTATACTACGTGTCTACACTACAGCACTGCACCTGTACCTCTGGAGCGCCTGCAGTGTAGACGTACATTCAGGGTTTCTCGCTGTAACTTTTGCAGTAGGGGAGCAGATTCCAGTTATAAATCGTGCTAGGCTGAGGCTATGTCTATACTACCAAGCCTGTGCCAGCCTAGATATCCCGGCCCAGTCCCCTAGTGAAGGCGGAGCATATGATAATGGAAGGAGTTTCCCTGTCCGGGTAGGAACACCACCTCCCTGAATGAAGGGGGACGGATTCAGGCTGCGAATAAGGGTTTACCAGGGAGGGGAATTCATCACTGGAACAGGATCAGCTCCCTGAGGGAAGGGGGTCTGGGAGTCTGTCAGTGGAGATGGGGTGTCTCTCTCTCAAAGCTCTGCTCTAGCTCAGTCAGGATTTACTGGTCTGGAGGCAGGAATCAGTGGGGGAGATTCTCTGGCCTGGGTTAGGCAAGAGGCTGGGCTGGATGGGCACAATGGGCCCTGCTGCCCGTTACATGTATGAATACCTTTGTGCAAAGACAATGAGATTTTCAAGCTCTTTGGGGCTTGGCCTGTCTCTGTTCTGTGTCTATACAGCCCCTGGTAACAGGGGGGGCCCTAGGTAATAACTCCTGGGGGAGGGATAGTTCAGTGGTTTGAGCGTTGGCCTGCTAAACCCAGGGTTGTGAGTTCAATCCTTGAGGGGGCCATTTAGGGATCTGGGGCAAAAATTGGGGCTTGGTCCTGCTATGAGCAGGGGGTTGGACTCAACTGACCTCCTGAGGTCCCTTCCAACCCTGATATTCTATGATTCTATGTTAGCTCCCTTGGCAACCCAATGGAAATGGCCCTTCCTGAGCTGGGACCATTGGTGTAAACACCCCTCTGGTGCCATCACCAGCACATTTAGAGCCCTGGGCTGCTAGCGGCAGGAGAGAGGCACCTGTCCCTGGGATGAGGACGAGCTGCACGGGGCTGATGCTCTGCATAGCTAGGTAGTAGAGTGAGACCCGTGCACGCACATGCACGGGGTTTGTGAACTCTGCAAGCCGAGGCAGGGGGTGGGATAGCGCAGAGGGAGGGGCCGGGAGTCTGGACTCCTGGGTTCTATTCGGTGGCACATCTCATTGTATTCTGTGATGGCCTGGCTCGGTAGCTGCAGTAGAAGCCACCCCACTTTGATCCAGCAGCTCAGCGTCCTTTAACATGGACACGGAGTCCCTAGTGGTTAGGGCTCCGAAAGAAACGTTTGGAATATGAACTGTGGTTCAGCCACGGCAGTGACAGCTGCCTGCGTCTGCCGAGAGTCTGAGCCCATCGCTCTGCGAGGGCTGAAAAGTGTCCGTTCATCTCGGGGGGGCGGAGGCGGGGGGTCTGTTGATTGTGAAACCTAATGGTGCCAATTTAAACACGGTGGGAAATTTTGCTGCTAATCTTCTTAGCCCCAAAGTCCAAGGAGTGGGACTGCAAAGCATCCCAAAGCAGTACCTAGCTCTCTGACTACCTCCATATTATTCAGTCCTGTGTCTGTCTGGGTCTGCATGCCCCTGTCTGTCTGGGGATGCGGTCTGGGGCCGGAGCCACTAGATGGCTCTGGCTCTGGGAAGCAAAGCTCGTGTTTTTCTCTCTCTCAATCTCTTCAGCACTTCCTGGTTGTGCAGCTCCTGTCTTAGTCCCCAGTCCCCATTGTGCCTCCTTTCTCCCTCCATGCAGCACTACGCCCTGGGGCCATGGGGGCCCGGGAACCAGCTCTGAGCATCCCCTGGTGCCTGGGAGAGTGCATCAGCCAGCGGGTGCTGAGACTCAGGACTCCTGGGTTCTGTCCCCGGCTCTGGCAGCGGAGTGGGGTCTGGTAGGTTAGAGGTGGGGATAGCAGCTGGGGGTCAGTGCTTGCCTTAGGCAGCCCTTCATAATGGTTGTGCCTCTCTCTGCTCCAGCGAGGTTTATCTAGTCACGAGCCTGTGCAGACCCCACTCCTTGCTGTACATGTGACCTGGAGCCCTAAACCACAGATCATCCCTGAAGCTGGGAGGAGCTTTTTCTGCTCGCTGTTTGCTGCCTAGTCACTAGAGCTGGCTGCAATTTAGGGGGCTGTTTTTCATGGAAATTTTGGAAAGAAAAGAAACCGTTTTTGTGTCAGTTTTCCTCCCGCTCCTCCCCTTCCTGGTTGGCAAAATAACTCAAGAGGAGTTTTTTTCTCAGAACTTTCAGTAGTTGACCAATTTCAGCTCCTGGAGAAAATCTCCCGCTTGCCCTGCTCTTCCTCACAGGGGCAGGATTCCTGATTCCCATGGAAGCACCCTGCATCCCAGATCTCCAGGGCTCTGAGGACACGGATGGGCCACAAGGCGTCCATAGAGGTGAGGGATGCATTAAAGGCGCTCAGAGAGCATCTCTGAGCCAGGTAAATATCCCAGTGGGGCTGGGGTGAGCTCCCCCCCCTTCCCCGCCACAGCCCCAGTTCTGTCCCATCCCGGTTCATTCAATAGCAAATGCCATAGATCTTGGTTTCCAAATGAGGAGTTTTCTCATAGCTTCTTAATGTTTTTTTTTTTTTTTTTTTTGGGGGGGGGGGGGGGGAATCAGCAACGCTCTTGAAATACATGGGTTTTTGCGAAGTACCAGGCGATGTTCTCTTTCAAAAAGTCCACTGCCCACAGCCAATATTGCCTGGGAAGCGGGTTGTCAGGCCCCAGAGAATTTTATGTGGGTGAAACACCCAGGTTTTCAGTGGGTGAAAGAAGTAGCTAGTGACCGTGATGGAAATCTGGGTCCAAGAATTTTGAAGCGATGAAAAATGCTTCAGACTGGAAGCTGCGAAAGGAACATTTTTGTGGTGGAACTAGTTTTTCATGGTAATAGCCGCATTACGCCCTCCTGGCCATGGCATGCATGGATTGCACTGACCTTGACTCATTTCTGACAGCAGCTCTAGCCCTTTGCCTCCCATCCTTCTGCGGAGAGCGGAGAGCAAAGACTACACAGGAGGAGAGCTTTCGCTCCTGCCCTGTTTAATCTCACTAGCAGCTCTAGTGGCAGGAAGTTAGTAATGAGGACAGAATCTGGCCCTTTCCATGTCATAATGTCTTAGAATTTCATAGATGTTAGAGACAGCAGAGCCCATTGTGCCCATCCAGCCCGGCCTCCTGCCTAACCCAGGCCAGGAATCTCCCCCACCGATTCCTGCCTCTGGCCCAGTAACTCCTGGCTGAGCTAGAGCGGAGCTTTGAGAGAGAGACGCCCCATCTCCACTGACACACTCCCAGGGATGGAGAATTCACCCCGTCCTAAGGGGAGCTCTCCCAATGGTTCATTCCCCTCCCTGATAAACACAGCCCCCTAATTCCCAGCCTCCATTTGTCTCCCTTCTGCTCCCAGCCAGCAGATCTTGCTTTGCCTTTGTATTGTAAAGATCCCACCTTTTCCAGCTGTGCTCTCTGAGGTTACCTTTCTCCTAATCTTTTATGGTTTTTATGGTCACGGTGTCTCTGTGCAGCGCCCAGCATGACGGGGCCCTGATCTCAGTCACTGATCTCTCTCTCTCCCCCAGGATTCCCCTTTCCCAGCTGTTCATTGTCTCCCATTTCCTCCCCATAGGTGCTGAGATGCTGCACAGGGACGAGGAGGGGAGTCCGTGGCAGGATGAAGCATTGTCGGGCGAGGCGCCCGAGGGCCAGCCTGGGGCCGAGGCTCAGCCGGATGGAGCACAGGGTGAAGGGAGCGCGGAGCGGAAGACATGCCCTGAGTGCGGGAAGAGCTTTGCCTGGAGCTCACACCTGGCGCAGCACCGGCGTACGCACACCGGGGAGCGGCCGTTCCGGTGCGGTGAGTGTGGCAAGAGCTTCAGCCGCAGCTCCAACCTCGTGAAGCACCAGGGCACCCACACCGGCGAACGCCCCTACCGCTGCCCCGACTGCGGCCGCGGTTTCACTGACTCCTCCAACCTGGCCGCTCACCTGCGCGGCCACGCCGGCCACAAGCCCCACCGCTGCCCCCAGTGTGGGAAAGGCTTTGCCCGGCGCTCCCACATCGCCACGCACAGGCGCACCCACACCGGCGAGCGCCCCTTCCCCTGCCCCGACTGTGGCAAGGCCTTCACCCAGCGCTCCGACCTGGTGGCCCACCGCCGCACCCATACCGGGGAGCGCCCCTACCGGTGCACTGTGTGCGGCAAGCGCTTTGGCATGAGCTCCACCCTGACGGTGCACTGGCGCACCCACACGGGGGAGAAGCCCTACCGCTGCCACCAATGCGGCAAAGGCTTCACCCAGAGCTCGGGCTTCCTCACCCACCAGCGGCTCCACGCCGGAGACAAGCCCTACAAGTGCGGGCAGTGCGGCAAGGCCTTCAGCGTCAGCTCCGATCTCCTCGTCCACCGGAGGGGCCACGACGCTGGGGCTGCAGCCCACAAGTGCCCTGACTGTGGGGCTGGCTTCAGTGCCAGCAATGAACTCCTGAACCACCAGAGCAGCGCCCATGGGGAGAAGACGCCACACCGGTGCGCAGCTTGCGGGAAAGCCTTCCGGCTCCGTGCTGCCCTCGGCAGGCACCAGAGGACTCACAGTCAGCAGAGATCGCACAGCTGCTGCCAGTGTGGGAAAAGCTTCCTGCACAGTTCGGCCCTCAGCGCCCATCTGAGGACCCACACAGGGGAAAAGCCTTTCAAATGCACCCAGTGCGGGAAGGACTTCCGCCAGAGTTCAGCCCTGATCAGACATCAGAGGACTCACATGGGCTAGGGACTGGCCACGGCTCACCCTTGGGGGTCAGGGGCCGGCTTGGAGATCAAGCGGAGCAGAGGACAGGGGTCAGATTGGGGTGGGTGCTGGGAAGCTGGGGATGGGCTCTGGGGGAGGGACCTAGCACCTAGATGGAGAGCTTGGGGGTGGGGCTGGGGACTAGGATGGGAAGGAGCTGGGTGTGGGGGCAGGAGGGTCAAGTGAAGTAAAGCATGGAGTCTGCTTGGCATCCCCGGAGAGTATCACACACATCAGGGCAAAGCTTGGCAGTGGCATGAAAGTGAGTGGGTGGGGAATAACAATGGGGGCAGAGCTGGCTCATGGATTGCACCCCTATGCTCAGGGTTTAACTTTTTGCCATATTTGGGGTCAGGAGGGAATTTCCCACCGGGTCAGATTGGCAGAGACCCTGGGTGTTTTTCTCCTTCCTCTGCAGCATGGGGCATGAGTCACTTGTAAGTCTGAACTAGAGTAAATGGTGGATTCCCTGTAACTTGAAGTCTTTAAATCGTAATTTGAGAACTTCAGTAACTCAGCCAGCGGTTATGGGCCTGTTACGGGAGTGGGTGGGGGCGGTTCTGTGGCCTGCGACGTTGAGGAGGTCAGACTAAATGATCATGATGGTCCCTTGTGGCCTTAAAGTGTATGAGCAATCGGGGTCAGTTGAGATCATTCGAACACGGTGCTTTTTAATACAGCCAAATGCAAGGTCATCTTTCTAGGACCAAGGAACGCAGGCCAGACCTGCAGAATGGGAACTGTACCCTGGAAACCAGAGACCCTGAAAAGGATGTAGGCAAATCCACTCTGCAGTGTCGTGGGTAAGAGGGTAACTTGCTCCTGGGCTGTGTGAGCAGGGAAATACAGAGTCAGAGTGGAGAAGGCGTGTTACTGTGGCATGCAGCATTGGGGAGACGGTTCCTGGATCCTGTGTCCAGTCCTGGGATACACACTTCAAGAGACAGCCCATTTTCAGTGAAAGGAAATGTCCTTTGCCATGCCCTGTGGAACTCATTGCCACCTGGTGTTTCGGAGTCCAAGAACTGAACATGTCTCAGGGAAGGGATTGGGGGGCAGATGGAAAGAGGGCGCTTCACACCTGCAGAGGAGCCGTGCTTCGGCGTCCAGGTGGGAAGCGAGAACGTTCACAGTTATCCATCGTCACTAATTACTCCTGGCCCTGACCAGGAGCAAACCAGCTCCTCCCACAACTGCCCACTGCAGGCCTCACACCCCTCCCTCTGAATGGGCTGCTCCTGGGCACTGGACTGGCTAGATGGGCCCCTGGGCTGATCCAGGGTTGATGTTGCCCCCACAGATTGTGAGCTCTTGGGAGCAGGTGCTTTCTCTTTGTTCTGTGTTTGTGCGGCGCCCAGCACAATGGGCACCTGGCCTATAGGCCCCACATAAATAAACAATAACAACCCAGCCTGGCAGTGCCGGGGGGACTGCAGTGAAGGACTGCAGCTATTGGGGAAGGCAGAGTTTGGGAGGAGCTGTCTGTCTGTCTTGGGGGCAGGGAATGTGACATGGGGCCTTTCCCCTGCGGGGGTGGAGGTGCTTCCTCCACTCACTGGACTGAGACCAGCTTTTGTGGCTGCAGAATCCAGTTTATTCTGACACAGTGGTTGCCCCAAACGTACAGCCGTCACACTGTCTGTCTGCACAGTCGGACTTGTGCTTCCTTCTTGCCTAAAACCCTATGGACCAATGGAGTGCGCAGGCATCCCCCCCACACACACACACACACCAGTGATGCTAGGAGCAAAGACCCAACAGGGGGCACTGCGGACACACACACACACCCCGCACACAAAACTCCTCAGCCATACTCATGGCAGGAGTGAATTGTGGGAGTTCAGCCCTTGCCTCCCATCATGCCCCAGGAGGATGTGGGCAGGTTTTCCCACAGTGCCTAATGCTCCCAGGAGCAACACTGTTCTGGGAATCTTGCCCCGGGGGGGCTTGTTCCCCAGTAATTGCTGTGTGGGAATGGGTGGAGGGGCATAGGGTGCAGGGCACAGGGCACACGGTGGAGGGGCACAGGAGGTGCAGGGCAGAAAGGCGCAGAAGGATGAAGGGTAGAAAGGGGCTATGGGACAGAGTTGGGGGCTGAGGAGGAGGGGGCAGAGGCATGAAGAGTTAGGAGGCAGAGGAGGGGGCAGGGGGATGAAGGGGTATGGAGCACAGGAGCGTGGGGCGGAGGGATGTTGGATGGAGGCAGTGAGGCTATGGGGGGGACTAAAGGGTGGAGGAGGCAGAGGGGCGCAAAGGTGGTCCATGCTAGCTCCCCGCAAGGCAAGCTTATCCGATGAGGGTTGAGCACTGTAAGAGCAAACAAACCCTAAGAGGGAAACCTGGAACAAAGTGGGGAAATAAGCCCCCTGACTCCAAACATAAAATCTAGGCGGTTGGTTTTTAAAAAATGCTAAAAACTGAAAAATCAAATGTCATCAAAATTTTTCTAGGGGTCTCTAATTCCCAGAAGACTCTGAGCCACATAGATTTAACCCCTGATTATCAGAGCCCTTGGACAGCAGGATTCAGCCTCCTGGGCACAGTGCATGAAACCCATCCCCTCAGAGCAATTGTCTCAGGCTCTCGCCAGACTCAGGCAGGGCCAGCGTCTGTGCAGTGCCCTGCACAACAGGACCCCAATTCTGGTTGGATTCACAGTAATAGTAATGGGCTCTTGATGGATCCCTCCTGTGATCCCAGACATTGTCCCTGCCCGGATGGCCCCACAGTCTAGTTTTGGAGTCACGTCCTGGAATGCAGCACCCAGCAGTGAAGACAATATGGGGGATTTAGGGTGGGTTTCTCCCCAAACTGTCCTTAGTTAGGAAGACGATGAGCTCTGGGTTCTGAATAACTCCCGTGTTAGTGCCTAAGGGTTTGAATCACAAGATGGTGCTGCCCCACGGGGCTGCTGTAGGCGTGACGTACGCACACACCTGGCGGGGGTGGAGTGGAGAGGTCAGTAACTGACAACCTGCCTCATCTTTACATTCAGTTTATCCTAAAAAAAGGTCCTGACCAAACCAACCCAGCAGAGCGAGAGCTCCCTGGGGAGAGGGGGAGCGAGGCCATCCCACCTGCGGGCACAGACTGAGGTCTGACCAGTGCGGGTGAGCTCATCCCACTGAGCAACCAGGCCCGGCCCTGCCATCTCTGCCCCTCTTCGTCTCAGATCTGGGTGGGGGAGGGGGGTTGGTAGGCAAGGGAGGTACACAGGGCTGGGGGGGAGGTCTATGGGAGCGTGTATACACACGCTTACCCGAGGCAGCCCCCCCCCGGCCCTGAGAGCTGGGTAAGGGGAGCGGAGCTGGCTGGCATACCTCATCTCCCTGCCCCCCACCCCTGCTGCTGCTAGGGTGAGGGAGCCCCCCAACTCCAACAGTCTTGAGTGGTTCCCAGCTACTGGACGATTGGGGTGGGTGTTGGTGTGATGGGGAAGGGGCCACTGTCCCACCGAGAGGCCCTGTCAGGGACACTGCCCACCCCTGTGCCATTCCCCAGCCTGTCAGGCCTGCTTCCCCCGCTCACACCGTGGGTTGAACCCTGAGTCTGGTGCCGGGGCACATGAGCCAGAAGAATGGGAAGAGCGGCTCGGAGAAGGGGGTGCCGGCAGCAAAGGAGAAGATGGGCTCCATGCCCTCGGCCTCATAGAAGGTGATGCTCCCGCTGTCACAGTCCAGGAAGATGCCCAGGAGCTGGGGGCTGCGGCTCGGGGACAGGCTGGTCTTGGGGCAGTTGTGGGCGTGGTAGTGGCCCCTGATGAGGCGCACAGCCCAGATGCCCTCCTCCTGCTCCATGCTGAACCAGCCCTTCCTGCGCAGCGAGCCCCGTGCTACACCCAGCGTCCAGTAGGCCTTGTCGCCCGCCTCCACCTCCACCTCCCAGTAGTGCCGTCCCGTCCGCAGCCCCGCCACGCCCAGCACACAGCGGTACGTGTCGAAACGCTTGGGGTGGGATGGGACGGCCCGATGCAGCTCCCCCAGCCGCACGCCACGATGGTCCTTGGACAGCTCCAGGCACGCGTGGGCTGTCTCGGGGTCCAGAGTCACGTCCGCTGTATGGAGAAATGAGAGAGTCAGACCAGCGCTGCTGAGGCCTGCAGCCAAACACTCCATGGTCCAGGGACCACGTGGCCCTGCCCATGGGCCCTGGCTGCACCTCTGCCCTGTGGTCCAGCTCCCCAGAATACAGCCCCACACCACACCATGGTCCTACCCCCAAAACGGAGCTGCAGCCTCTGTATCAGGGCCACACCTCCGGGGTGTGGTCCCCTGCCCCAGCTAGCGGCACCCGAGACCACTTAGAGATTAATGAGTCTGCTCTACAGCCTTAGCTAAGAGCCATGCGGCTTTTAGCTCCTGCAGTAGAGGCTCATGCATTTAGCTCCAGAGGTCACAGGTTTGATCCCACCGGCGAACGGGGTCTGTCGGTGTTACCCCTGCAATATGGCTCCCAGAAAGCAGCCTTATCCCATGCTGTGGATCTACCCCTCACTATGGCCCCATGCCCACACATCATGGCTCCCCACTTCAGCACTGTGGGCCTACCTCCCCTCATGTACAAACCACGCCCTCCCTACCTGCACGAGATTCTAAGGCCAGAAGGGATAACTGTGACAATCTAGCCTGGCCTCCTGTGTAACACAGCAGCACAAGACGTCCCTGAATTAATTTCTGTTTGAACTAGAGCAGATCTTTTAGAAAAAAAAAATCCAAACTTGAATTTAAAATGGCCAGTGATGGAGAATTCGCCACAGTTGTTGGTAAATTATTCCAGTAGCTATTCACTCTCGCTGTTAACAAGTCATGCGGTATTTACAGTCTGAGTTTGCCTAGCTTCAACTAGCAGCCACTGTATCTTGTTAGACCTTCGTCTGCTAGCTTGAAGAGGCCTCTATTATTAAATATTTGTTCCCCATGTAAGTACTTATAGACTGTGATCAAGTCACCCCTGAACGTTCTCTTTGTTAAGCTAAATAGACTGAGCTCCTTGAGTCTCTCACTAGAAGGCAGATTTTCTAATCCTTCAACCATTCTCACGGCTCTTCCCTGAACCCTCTGCAATTTATCAACATCGTTCTGGAATTGTGGACACAGGACTCCAGCTGCAGTCGCACCAGTGATAAACACAGGTAAAATAACCTCTCTACTCCTACTCAAGATTCCCCCGTGTATGCATCCAAGTATCACTTTACTTCCCCCCCCCACCCCTCCGCCCAAACACACACGGGGTGTATATTCTTCTGCTCTCCCGGGGATCCTCAGCAAATTCCATCCCGTGTGGTGTCACTCACTCTTGAATCTCTGTAGCATTTTCTTCATATCTAGGCAACGCTCAGGGAATTTGTATTTATTCTTCACTTCAGTGGAGATAGCTTCTGGCTCCCGCAGTTTGATAGTTTCAGCGCTACGGGGAGAAATGCCTTGTTATCTCAGCTCCCAGCACACCCATCCATAGCAGAAATGGAACGGAGATGGACCATGGTCACCCACCTGATCAGTGAATGCCTCACACCCTGCAGAGGAGAAACGGAGGAGAATCAGTGTCTGCTGTGAAAAAGGCTTGTTTGGTGAATCCTAACATTTTCCATTTGGGGTTTTTTCCAACCTCCCTCCCACCCAGCCCAAATTTTTGAAGAAAACAAAATCTTTTTCAGCAGAGGGAAAAATCCCAAGTCATTTCCCAACCAATTCTACCAGTTAGCCCCATTTAACAGATGGGAAAACTGATGCCCACAGAAGGAAAAGTCACCCAGAGGCAGGCTGGGATTAAAACCCAGGCATCCCACATCACTGCCCTGTACCTTACCCCCTTGGCCACCCAGCCACCTGCTGACACACCCAACACACTCTCACCTCTAGCAGCTCCACAGATGATTTCCGGCACTTCTCCTCCAGCTCTGCGATGAGTTTGCCCAGGGCAGAGCTCTGCTCCGAGAGGTCAGCTAGGTTGGCCTGTACTCTCTGCACAAAGTCCTTCTCTTCTGTTGCCAGCTTCTCTAGCAGCAGCTTCTCCTCCTCGGTCAGGAACTGGCGGATCTTCTCGAACTCTGACACGATGATCTGACGCTGAACCTGCACTTTCTCCTGCCGGGAGAAGTAAAAAAATCCAACAGGTCTAAGGGAAAACTAAGTGCTACTTACACACCAACCAGCCAGCCAATCTTTCCCTACACTTTTCTCATTGAAAATGGTTTTAATAACAGAGAAAGTGGGGAGAAGGGGGTGTCTCCCACCCCAATTTTCTCCAAATTGTTTGACCTCCCCCCCACTCCACTATCCAGGTTTCAAAAAGTGAAACAAAACCAGCATTTTTTATTGAATAACTGTACAGATTCCAAGGCCATAAGGGATCATTAGATTCTAGTCTCACCTCCTGCATAGCCCAGCCATTGAATTTCACCCAGTCACCCCTGACCTGAGTCCAATAACTTGTGATTGACCAAAGTGTTTTCCAGAAAGGTGCCCATCTAGATTCAAAGCCATCAAGAGATGAGGCATCCACCACTTCCCTTAGGAGTTTGTTCCAGTGGTTAATCACCCCTCGTGTTAATAACTTGTGCCTTATATCTACTTTGAATTTGTCTGGCTTCCGCTCCCAGCCATTGGCTCTTGTTCTGCCATTCTCTGCTAGATCAAAGAGTTTTTTAGTAGCCAGTATTTTCTCCCATGAAGGTACTTCTACACCACCATCAAGTCGCATCTCAGTCTTCTTCTTGAGAAGTTTAAGAGTTTGAGCTCTTTAAGTCTCCCATTGAATAATTTGAACCAAAGGGGAAATTTCACATTGGCTCAGAATGTAAAGAAGATCTTCATTTCATTCTGAAATTTCCCATCAAAAATCAGGAAAGGAGAGATGGGAAGGGAGAGATGGATCCAGGTAAATGCTTCTCAGAAACACTTAAAGTACAATGAAAGATGCATTTGTTTTGATGCCCTGGCTTGACCCCTGTGTGATGAATGAAGAGGAGGGGTAGCTCCCATTTATGGACACCCAGCCAGACAGTTAGCTGCAAAATCCCTGTTAGTAGCTGTTCTCTACTGGCTTTACCTGTAAAGGGTTAAAAAAGCCCATAGGTAGAAGGAAGGGAGTGGGCACCTGACCAAAGGAGCCAATAGAAGGGCTAGAACTTTTTAAAATTAGGGATAAAACTTTCCCTTTGTCTGTCTGTTGTTGTTCTCTGGAGAGAGGAGACACAGAGCAGCAATGCTGTAAGAAGTTAAACCAGGTATGAAAAATCATCAAATCATACCTAGGAATTACTTGTCTGAAACCCCAGATCTGTAAGTAGATCAGGGAATGTCTGGGAAGACGTGATTAGGGTTATTTCTTTTATTTCTTATTGGCTTGTGGACTCCTCTGTGCTAACCCCCAACTGCTTTTGTTTTGCTTGCAACCATTAAACTGGACCTCAGGAAAACCATTCTTGATGCTTAATTATTATATTTGCTCTTTTAAAATCTAGCAATAGCCTAAGTTCCAGATGTATTTTCTTACTTTTTGTTTTTAATAAAATTTACCTTTTTTAAGAACAGGATTGTGTTTTTGTGTCCTACGAGGTTTGTGCAGATGTTGTTTAATTAGCTGGTGGCAACAGCTGATTTCCTTTGTTTTCTTTCTCAGCTCTTCCCCGGAGTGGGGGTGAAAGGGCTTGAGGGTACCCCACAGGAAGAAATTCCCAAGTGCCCCTTCCTGGTTCCCAAGGGGGTTTTGCACTTGGGTGGTGGCAGCATCTACCCATCCAAGGTCAGAGAGAAACTGTAACCTTGGGAGTTTAATACCAGCCTGGAGTGGCCAGTATTAATTTTAAGAATCCTTGCAGGCCCCCACCTTCTGCACTCGAAGTGCCAGAGTGGGGATTCAGCCTTCACACCCTGCTAGACAAGTTTGCCCAGGGATGACTCGGTCCCTTTGGGAGTGGGGGGCTCAAAGAGGCTCACACCCTCAAGGGAGAGGGAAAGGTTTTTGAGAGCTAAGGAGAACTAGACTGGGGAAAGTTGGCAGGATCCAGGTAAAGCAAATCTACGTGGAGACCTTTTGATGAGTCAGGGTCCTTCTCTCTGAAGTGCTTTGTCCAGATGGTTACAGACACACCGCTATTGCTATAAGAAGTCTGGCTACTGAATGGACCGTGGGTTGGGCGCTCCCCAAGGGAGAGCCCACACGTGCATGATACACCGGGGACTGCGGGGCAGGACCCGGTCTGAGAGTGGCAGAATCTCAGGATTCCACCCCAGAGAGATGGAGGCTCACAGCCAGAGCAGGGTGTCCTCAGAGAGCACAGGGGGACAGAGGAGCAGTGTCCCTGAGCCGTGACAGCCATGCTCCCCTACGTCTGTGCTAATGTGCTCCCGGATCCCCACAGCAGCTACAGCACATGTATGCGTCTAGTAGTGTCTGCTCCATCCCTGGGAGTCTGTCAGTGGAGATGGAGCGTCTCTGTCTCAAAGCTCCGCTCTAGCTCAGCCAGGAGCTATTGGACCAGAGGCAGGAATCGCTGTGGGAGATTCTCTGGCCTGGGTTAGGCAGGAGGCCGGCCCTGCTGGCTTAGACATTTACAGTCGTTGCACTAATAAACTTAATCTTTTAGAAGGGGATGCTTTGGTGCCCTGGGTTCAGTCCCCACAGATCCCTGAGCCAGGGTCATCACTAAATACAGAAGGAGGCGCCCGTTAATACCTTGCTATTATTATTAATTCGTATCATGGTAGAGGTTGGGCCCTGTCGCACCGAGCGCGGCACCCACACAAGGCGACCAAGAGCGAGGCCTCAATAGGTTGTGGTTGAACTGGAGTGGATCTACCTTCCCACCAGGGAGACACTCACCTGCCATTCCTTGATCTTCCTGTTCTCCTTGGCCTCCAGCCGCTTGGCAGCTTCCATCTCCTTCCTGAGCTGAGTCAGGGCTTGCTGGACTTTGGTCTGAGGGGGAAGAGCAGCACAGGTCAGGAGGGCATGCGGGAGGGCCGTGCACCTGCCACTGAGGTGCTGACCACTTCTGGCTTCCACCAGACCTGTGACCTGACCATGTAGAGGGGGTTGTAAGGCTGCTACTGCATCTCAGCTAATGCCCCCTGGTCTGCAAGCTCAAACAGGAACGGTGTGTGGTTGAAGATCCAGAGGTCTGAGATCAAGGGCGCTGGAACAGGGGAAGTCAGGGGGCCATGGCTCCCCCAATCTTTACTGGCCATAAGAACAAGTGATGGAGAAGGGACAGAGAGGAGTGTGTGGTGGGTGGGGTCTTGAGGGAAGGTGGTGCAGGAGCAGGGCCTTGGAGGAAGAGGTGGTGCGGGGACGGGGCCTCGGGGGAATGGGCGGTGCAGGGGCGGGGCCTCAGGGGAATGGCCCACATGGAGGTGGGGCCACAGTTCGGGAGCCTGTGGGCCCCCTCACTTTTAAGGCTCTTCCACCGCTCCTGCCTGGGATCAGTCACCAGGGGTGTCCCTTTGTACCAGTAAAGTGAGCCTATTAGCCACACACAGGCTCCCCTATAAATGAAGCCTGTCCATAGATTTGCTTAGAAGTTCCCCTCCCCCACAAAGAAAAATGTTGTTGTTTTTTTCAACATGGACGATGTTGTGAAAAATATTCATGTTTTTCCCTGAAAAGTTCCCTCGGTTGCAGTGAAGAAACCCTAAAGCCGTTGCTTGGTCTATTTGTGTCAGAGCTGGGAACTGAACCCGGCCTCCTGGAGGCCTGCCCTGGGCATGGACAAGCAGCCCAGCCCGCTGAGGAAAAAGCGTTTTCTCAAACACAAGAAAAGACTTGTAGCCCCACCTAAACTTTCAGCAGTGGAGAGGAGCCCCCAGCTGCGCCTGTGATTAGCACCCAGCTCCCCAGCAGATTAGCACCCAGGAGCCCCTGCACCCAGCAGACTCTCACCCTGTATGTTTGGGCAGCCTCCTCCATGGGTGCCACCCTGTGTTCCCGGTGCTCTTGGGACTCCCGGCACACCACGCAGATGGCCTTCCCGTCCTCCTCGCAGAACAACTTGAGCTGCTCTTGGTGATGCTGGCAGAACGGCCCCGCCCACTCCTCTCCTCTCATGGCCCTCAGCTCCAGGATGGACTTTAACATGTTGGCCAGCTGCCAATTGGGCCGGAAGTTGTCCTTCTTGAATTTCCCTTTGCAGACGGGGCACTGGACGGGGCGACAAGGGCTTTCCTCCTCACATGCCTCACAGTATCGGCTGATGCAGACCTGGCAGAAGTTATGCCCACAGTCAATGCTCACTGGCTCAGTGAAGCACTCCAGGCAGATGGGGCACAAGGTCTCACCCTTCAGTCTCTCCACAGGGTTTGCTGAGGCCATGATGCCGCTATATGGCAACGCCCTGTAAAACAGAGTGCTTATGTTCATGGCACACGCACAGAAATGAGATAAAAACATAAAACTCTCTTGCTGGAAGGTTGCAACGTGATGCTACTTTAATTCCTAGAATTCAGAATAACACTCCTCAAGAATCCCAAAACAGAGAGAGACAAAGCAGGCTGCTCCCTAAGGCAGTGAGGCCCAATTCATCCACCTTGCTCTTGGCTGGCTGGCTGCAGACTGACTGATCACACACTCCCCTCTAGAGCCCCTTAGTCTGCAAACAGGATCAGGAAAAAAAACATTCTTAAAGTGATAGCTTGCAATGAAAACACAGTCCTCAATACACCACACAAACCCAAGAGCTATTTTAGGGATCCAATCAAACTTGCTTTATAGAGACCCAAATTCTACCTAGGGAGAGGAAACTTCCTCTGAAGGTGTGTTATCCTGCATGTGTAACCCACCAGTCAGTGCAAGGCATGAGTCTATTACAGCCCAGCCACTTTAGCTCTAGCTATATGGACCCCATCACCAGAGTGTCGGCTGCCTCACTATCTTTATGAGTCCCTGTGCTAATCCCAGTCCTTCATGGCCCATGGGGAGAACAGGATTGCCTGCACTGCCCTCAACATGCTCACAACACATACAGCTCTGCACTAAGACAATGGCTGTAATCAAATATCATGCTTCAGGGTTACAGCCACTGAGGAGGTCAGGAAGGAATTATTTGTCTCCATGCACAGTTTGGCCAGATGTATTCTTCATTTCCTCTCCATCCCCCTTTCTCTGAAGCATCAGGGATTGTCCATAGCTGGAGACAGGACAGACTAGTGGTCTGAGGCTGTCTGAAGAATGCTTTCTAGCTATGTGGCTGGTGGATCTTGCTCCCATGCGCAGGAAGGACTGTTCCCCAGGTCAGATTAGCAGGGATCTTGGGGGTTTTCACTTTCCTCTGCAACATGAATCACCTGCCAAGACCACATGGGCGTTTCTCACCTAATCAATTCCCTGCCATTGCAGGGGCCTCAGGGGCCCCTTGGTCTCAACTGTTCTCTGCCTGGGACACTCAGCTATTTAATCTCCCGAAGACTGAAATGCTTTAGTCTAATCTAAGTGATTGGGCTCAATACCGGGGTAACTGGGTGAGATTCTCTGGGCTGGGTTATGCAGGAGGTCAGACTAGATGATCTAATGGTTCTTTCTGGCCTTAAAATCTATAAAACAGCATTGTAGTGATATTCACAGCCCCCCGTGAGACAAGGCACAGCTGTTACCCCCAGAACAGTTCACCGACTTGCTCAAGACCACCCGAGGGACCTGTAGCAGAGCAAGAATTGAACCCAAGTCAGCGGGTCCCAAGATAGCAGCACCCAAACCACTGGACCATCATTCCCCTCCCAACAGGAGTGCAACAGACTCATGCTTTTGGCTCTGCAGGCTGCTGTGGTTGGGCAAGATGTCAGCTACATCACTTGCCCTTTCCCAGCGCTGCCAGCTGTCACAAGATTGAATGCTTTTTTTCAAACCCTGACTCTTGCACTCCCCGGATTATGGGGGAATCTCCGGTTGCGTTTTTAAGAGTTTAAGAGTCAGCTGACAGAAACATGATGACCCTACATGGCACTGACCCTAGAGGACAAATAGACTAATTATTTTTTTTGAGGTCTCCTGATTTATGGGGTCCTTCCTCAAGTCAGCAGTGCCGTCTTCCTCTGACACAACTCGTACAGCCATGGGGCTGGATGGGGCAGTGCCCACAGAGAATACAGGATCATTCCCCTACCTGCTAGGACAGCAAGCACAACCGCGGCCATCTTGTCTGGCTTGGGGGCTGGGGGGAAGGAGCAGGACTGTGCCGAACTAAAAACACCAACCTCCCCAGCTAGAGCAAAGGGGCCAGAGTTTGGAGCTGAGGTTGTAACAGGCTCACATCTGCTGTGCATTAGGCCCAGCAGGGGACTGCACCTGTCACATACAGTGACCAGCAAGGGGGTCCCACCAGCACAAAAGGGACAAGCTGGGGCGGGAGACAGAAATAATGTGGGGAAGACTGAGCGTGGCAGGGGGAAGGGTGGAAGACAGGAATAAGGCAGACAGAAAGAGAAGGGCAAGGAGGAGAAATGGAATTCTTTACCTCCCCGAAAGCCTGGACCATGTGCTCAGGTCAGAGCTCCAAGCTCATGGCAAAAGCTCCCAGCACAAGGTGAAGCCAGCAAAGTGAACTTTGTCCTTCCTGCCACTTTCTGCGCAGAGGGCGTTCCCGGTTAGGGCTGCTGGAGCCTCCAGGCATTATTAAAAATCATGTCGTATGATGTAACCTCCAGGAATACATCCAACCAAAACTGGCAAGCAGGAGCGGGCAGATTGTGCAGGAGGAGGGGGCATGGGGCAGCAGGCGCCAAGAAGGGCAGAGGGTGTGTCCCTGAACAGGGTTTATTAGTGCCAAGACACAACCACAACCCTTGCTGGTGTGAATCAGCTGTTATTCCACTGGAGCCAATGGGCCAGATCAGCTGTAGCGCTATTGATGTCAGTGGGCCAGATGCCGACTGGGTGTGAATTGGCCATCACTCCTTTGGAACCAATGAGGCCAAATCCCCAGCTGGTGTCAATCATCCATAGCTCCATTGGCATCAATGGGGCCAGATACCCCAAAACTGGAATTTGTAATCAAAAATTTTAATGAAAACTGATTTTTAAACTAGTTAATTAATTGCTGTTTGAAATGGAAAGTCTCTTCAGTTTTCAGTAATTTTTTTTTAAAGGTAGAAAATTTCAGTGCCCAGTAATAAGACTGTTGGGTAAAATTTTTTGATATTCAGTTTCAAATAAAAAAACCCGACACAATGTGGTTTCCAAAAATGAAAAGGTTTGGGGGTTTGCATTGAAAAACTGGGCGGGAAGGGGAGGGAATGGCTGGAAATTTTGACTTTTTTTTTAATTTCTTGTGAAAAAAATTGGTATTTTCCAGCCAGTCCTTGTCTTATTATTAATATTTATTGGTATTGCAGTAGGTTTAGAGGCCGCAGATGTGGTTCAGGGCTAGGCTCACTACAAACACAAAGAGCAGGTGTCTGTCCCAAAGCGTTCACAGTCTGAGTATGTAGTGGAAAATCCTGTCCCCTGTAGGAAAGAACATTCTGGATATTCTAGGAGAAAGGAATGGGGTTCCACAGAGACAAATCAGTTTTCAAGGACCTTTTGGCGGCCTGGCCAGTCCCAACACTGAACAATCAGGCGTTCAGGCCCCCCACCAAATTATGCAATTATCTTAAAAACAAGAAGCGTGGGGTGTTTCTGTGGCCTATGGTTTCTGAGTGTTGAGGCTTCCACACTCAGGTCATGTTTCCAAGCTTTTCTCCCCAACCAGGAGAGCTAGAAACAAGGGCTGCACAAAGGTTTTTGGGGAGATGGGAAGAACTCTGAAGGGAGGCCCCAGAGGAGGGGTGGCTTGGGAGCAAGCCTGTTCTGCGCTCATCCTGCAGCGGTGGCTCCCATCCTGTGGGGCTGGGGCTGTGTCGTGAACGAGGGGCAGCTGGGCAAAACCTGGACAGCACTGTGACCTCCTGTGCCAGGACGCAATGCCACTCGGTTTGGATGCCCTCTCAAATAGGGGCTCTCCGGGGCAAACTAAACCGTCCCCTTCCCCTCCCTGCCACCCCAAGGCAGCACTGGTAGAAGCTGATTTTTCCAAAAAGCAGCGTCTCCTGTCATCATGGGATTCCAGGAGCTGGGACTTTGAGGAAAACATCCTATCGTATTGAGAGAGTTGGCCATGCTGCTACTCCAGGCAACAATAGAGGCACTGGGGATAATGTCCCCCTCCCAGCCGTACCTGCTGGTTTCACAGTATCTACATAGGGTGACCATATGTCACTTTTTTGACTGGGACACTCTGTTTTTTAAGCCTTGTCCTGACTGTCCCAACTTCTCCGGCAAAAGTGGGCATTTGTCCCATTTGCTCTTGCCAACTTGATCATCAAGAGCAAATGGGACAAATACCCCCGGTGCCCACAGGGGAGAGGGGTGGAGAAGAGGAGGGACACAGCAAGTGGTGCAGGTGGGGGCGGTGAGGAGTGTGGGTGCGGCCAACGGTGGAAAAAGCCAGGGGACAGGGAGCCTACCCCAGGAGAAATTTCACCCGCCACCCATGCAAGTGGCCATGCCAGCCCCATGCAGGAGTTCAGGCAAGGGGCAGGCAGGGCTCGGGACAGCCCTGCACTGGGGGAGGGGGAGGACTAGCCCCACACGGTGTCCTATTTTCCCTTTGGGAAATATGGTGTATATTTGCAGGCAGCATGGGTGAAATGTCCACATTTTTACTCTGCAACCACCAGGGCTACAAAACGCCCTTTCTCTTTGCTGGGGGTGGCAGGGGGAGTCCCCCGTGATCGCGTGACTCCAGGAGCTGGGGATTCCAGCAAACCCCCCGCAATGGTGCAATGGCGCACACTTTCCCCAAATCGGGAAGCTGAAGGGTTAAAAAGCTTGGAGGAGGCGCCTAAATCTTTCGGTGCCTGGGGAAAGCAGGCCGTGTTTACAGAGGGACGGAAAATGGAGGGACCTTCCTGTGCCAACCCCTCCCCGCCCCCCCGGACACCTGGGTCCCTCCGGGGCTGGCTTGGGCGTACGGGGGCGAGTCCCCCTGTGAGCGCAGGAGGAGAAACAGCCGCAGAGGCAGGAAATCGGGGGCTGCAGGGCCGGGCGTGGGGCTCGGAGCCCAACCGGGGCTGGAACCGGAAAACCCCCCCCAGCTGAGCCAGGTCCGGGCCGCAGGAGAGCTCCGGGGCAGGGGGCTCAGTCTATGGGGAAGCAAAGCAGGGCGCTGGCTGGAGATGGGGAAATTGTGAATGATGATGGTGCAGCGAAGGCAGAAGGGCTCAATGGGCATTTCTGCTCTGCCCTTGGAAAGACGCTCCATGGAGTATTGTAATTGTACGGTATGTAGAACTGCCAGGGGTCCCGTTTTGTCCAGTCGAAAAGGGGACCGGACACTCAACGTCCGGTTATCGGAGTAACCGCAGGCAGCCTCTCCGCGCAGAGGGCGGCAAGAGCAGCAGCTGCTGCTACCTGGGGCAGCTGCTCAGCTGTTGACGGAGAGAAGTGGTTCCAGCCTCCAGCAGACTGAAGTAGGTTGGATACTGGGGCTGCCCAGAAGGGGATCTTGTCTGCCTTTCCCTCAGCCATTGCCCCTGCCTCAGCCCCTTGCTCCGGGGACCGCCCGCCCCCTGCCCTGCCCTGCCCTGCCCTGCCCTGCTGCGCCCCAGTTGCCCTGGCTCCTTACTCTGGGGACCGACTTTTCTGAGCCAGAGCCCCACTGCTGTGCCCTGATTGGGCAGCCAGGCTTCCTATCAACTCCTCCCAGCTTGGCTCTGCAGGTGGCAGGTGAGTGGGGGAGGGGGGCAAGCAACGGAGGGGGGGAAGGAATGAGGGGGGCAGGCTTGGGGAAGAAGCTGGGCCTCAGGGAAGAGGTGGAATGGGGTCTGGGGAGGGGAAGTAGAAAGTTGGCAACCCTAGCCCCAGACCCTCACTCTGAGGACCGACCCCACCCCCCACACACCCCGCTGTGCCCTGATTGTCCCCACCCCGGCCCTTTGCTCTGGGGACTGTCCTCCACCCCACTGTGCCACGATTGATTTCTCTGACACAACACTCAGCAAAGGTTTGAACAACGGATGCCGTGTGTTAAGAGTCAATGTAGTCCAGAAAAATGAAGATGATCCCTGAGAACCACTTTTATGACAGAACTGTGTACTCTAAGGAATGCCAGGTAACTGATTTGTAAATATAAACATTGTCTGTGATGGGGATGTGGTGTTGGATTATGAACTAAATTCTTTGCATTCTCTCTTCTGGGTGGGTTTTTTATTGTTTGAAAGGTTAAAACAAATTTCAGAATATATTATCTTAATACAGTCGACTTAATATATCAACATGGTAGTGTCTTGTTTTGTTAATCTGGAGAGCAGCTGGTTTCAAATGTAAATTATATTGTTATCTTATAGTTTTCACATCAGTTTGTCACTGCTTAATAATACTCTCCCAAACATGAAAAACGGTGACACCGTAAGCATGCAGTCTTAGGTTTGATGTGCTAGCTGCACCAGTTAGTGCTGTTCCCAGAATGGTGCTCATAGAATCATATGAAGATTAGGGTTGGAAAGGACCGCGGGAGGTCATCTAGTCCAACCCCCTGCTCAAAGCAGGACCAACACCAACTAAATCATCCCAGCCAGGATGCAAATATGCAGAGATGTCCTTGCAGAAACTGGTCAAAACATCTCTGTTAACTTTAGCTCCACTGAAAAATAGCTTATGACAAAATATAGAGGATGATATAATATAATAGTCCTGTATTAAGGGGACCTGGGCAGTCTCTGGTCAGAAGTATTGACCAGACTCCAAAAGTCCAGGTACTGCAATTTTCTATCTTCTTCTAGTGTCCTGTAACAAATAATACCTGAAATTAGAATATATATCTGTCAGAACAACATATTTGATTGACTCTTTGAATTAACTTTTTTAGTGCGCAACCACAAGCAGAGGGGAGCAACTGGCCTTCAAAGAGTTAAGTGCCTAGCCAGCAGGCTTCAGCGGTCAGCTATGTAGTTAACATCGCGGCATCCTCAGTTGACGCTCTTTTATCTGGTGGCTAAACTGTGCTGCAGTCAGACTAGTGTGAGGTGAAATGGCAGCACCCGAAAAGAGAAAGATTCGAAGGCTGTGCTCTTTTAAAGACAAGTGGTTGCAACTCCCAGCGTATCGGAATTGGCTTATGAAAGCAAGTGAAGACTCAGGGTATTGTTCTATTTGTCGTGTTCAATTCACAGTTAAGTTTGATTCTGTAAAAGCTATCAAGCATCATGCGGAGACACCGGGTCACAAAATCAAAGTACGAGCACAGGTACGGTCTAGTACTATGGATAAATTCTTCGTAAAGGCTGATGCCTCTGAAGAAGAACACACGTGCGCAGCTGAATTGCTTCTAACATATCATGGAGTTAAACACCAGCACAGCTACCGTTCTCAAGATTGCGGAAGTACGCTGTACCGCTCCATTTTCACTGATTCCAAGATAGCTTCCAAAATTCACTACAGAAGGACAAAAGTGGAGGTTTTGATCGAGAAAGTACTTGCCCCCCATTCATTGAAACTGGCTGTGCAAGACATTGGATCAACATCGTTCTCAATAGCGATGGATGCTTCTAATAAAGGGAACACAAAATTATTCCCAGTTGCCGTCCGCTACTTTAATAAAGATAAGGGAAGCTGCATGTGTATCATAGACTTTTTTGAGGATGCAGACGAAACATCAGAGGCAATCGCAAATAACTTAAAAAGTTGTCTTCAAAATGCCGGTCTGATACATAATCGAATTGTGGCATATGGAGCAGACAATGCATCTGTTAATTTTGGAAAACACAAGTCTGTTTTCGTGCACCTAAAACGAATGTTGGATTTACCAAACCTTGTGCCAGGCCATTGCAGTGCTCACATACTACACAATACGGCGAAACATGGCTTGAAAATGCTCTCTTATGATGTAGAGCACTTGGTCATCAACGTTTTCAGTGAATTCTCGTCCAGTGAAAAGAATATTAGTGAACTTAAAGAGTTCTTTGACTTCATGGGGACAGAATATTCAGAAATCTTACCCCATATAGCTACACGTTTTCTGACCCTTTTCACTGCAGTAGACAGGTTACTGAAGAATTGGCCAGCACTCAAATCTTACTTTGTGAGCAAAGGAGAGGAAAATGTGTGCCGTGCAATATGGGCCTTCCTTTCTGAGCAAGAGCATGCAGTGTCCAACGATGAAACTCTTACGCTTCCCGAGCTGTACATCTATTTTGTGCACAACATTATGAGCCAATTTAACAACACCATAAAGGTTCTTGAGAGTGATTACGTTCAGGTAACTGAACTGTATACTAAATTCAACAAGCTGAGGAGAGAGATTCAGAATCGACAAGAAAGAGGATTCTATGGGTACCAGGTGACACAGTTCTTGAAGAAACTACCACCTAACAAGCAGAATAAATTTGTTGGAGATGCCCAACGGGCTTACACACGTATGGTACAGTACCTGGAAAAGTGGTTTGATTTCAGTGAAAACTCTTTCTATAAGATGTGTGCGCCCCTCAATCTGGACAGACCTCTTGAGCTAGACGAACTGTGTGCTTTGACGACAAGCTTGGGCATTCAAGTGGACGGAGATGAACTATTTACAGAAATGTGTACGTTGAATGATGTGCTACCGACCCTAAAGAATTTGACAAATTCTGCTGAATCGACACTGCGTCGGCAGTCACAAGAGCCCCACAATGTCTCCGAGGTGTGGGTAGAATTCTTTAAGCGCTGCGAGGCCCCGAACTTACTTAAAATTGTGCAGCACGTGCTTGCTACCCCACCCAGCAACACATTTGTGGAAGGCATTTTCAGGGTTATGAAGAACTTGCGGACCGACAAAAGGAATCGGCTCCAAGTGGACGTGGCAAAAGCTAAGCTATTCGTGCACTTCAACTATCAAATGACCTGTGCCGAGTTTGCTGGATTTTTGAAGACGGAAGCGGCTAAGGAGCTTGTGGGAACGGCAAGAAAATATCAGAAGTATAAATTTAAATAGGTTTTAAATTGCTATTCTCATGAAAGTTCTTTGGGGCTGTACTAGGGAGTTCCTTGCACTGTTTTTGTTTTTTAATGTCTCGTGAAGTATAAAGAAGATATAAAGGTTGTATGAAATGATTATACAGCATCTGGTGACGTCCAAAAATGTACAACTTGGCACCTAACCGTATATTAAAGCACACGCAGAAAAGCAACCTGGTTTTCAGAGGTTTTGTGGGTGCTCAGCACCACTGAAAACCGACTTAGCTTTATGAAAGTGTCCAATTGAGGTGCCTAATTTTAGACGGTGAGGTTTGAAAGGTTTTGCGTACGTCCTTTAGACTTGATAAGTGATTAGAGTCCAATAGAACAGAATGGATAAACGTATAATGTTTTTTTGTTATGCCTGGAAATATTTACATCTACCTTGGGTTTATGCAAATACTATTGCACAGATCAGATCAAAGAATAAAATCTCACCATCATTTTCCTGTGTACTATGTTACCAAACTCTAATTTCATTATAGGTCAGTGGGGAGATTAAGGTCATGTCCACACTTGAGATGTTACAGTGACACAGCTGTACCAATGCAAGATATAAGATCTCTTGTGTAGCCGCTCTGTGCTGATGGGAGAGAGCTCTCCCGCCAACATAAAGCACTCTACCACTCGTGCCAGTGAAACTTATGTCACTCGGGGGGGTGTTTTTTTTCCACACCCTTGAGCAACATAAGTTTTGCTGACATACGTGGTAGTGTAGTGTAGCCTTAATGAAATCAGGAAAAGCTCAGTACAGTGGGACACTGAAGAGAGAGAATGGGAAAGGGGAGTGTTAAAAGGCTCTGCGGGTTCTAACTATGCTTTTTTTTCCGAGCCAGAGCCCAGCCGCTGTCCCCCGATTGGGCAGACAGGCAGGCTCCACATGAGCTTCTCCCAGCCCAGCTCTGCGGGTGGCAGGTGAGTTCCGGGGGGTGGAGGGGCAGAGTGAGTGATGGAGGGTGGGAGGGGAAGAGGAGCAAGGGGGAAGAGGCGGGGTAGGGGGCGGAGCCTCATGGAAGAGGCAGAGCATCGGGTGTGGGGCAGGGGTGTCCGGTTTTTAACAGTTGGAAAGTTGGCAACCCTGATCGTATGACAATGCTGGAATACTTTCTAGACTTTTAGTAACCAAGGAGGACGTTAAAAAAAAAATGAGTAGGAATAAACTTTTAAAAGTCAGCAGGCCCAGATATCTCACACTCAGAAGTCCTGAAACAGGTGAGTGAGGAGATCTGTGGCCTGCTGCTGTTCATTTTTAATATGTCTTGGAATACTGGGGAAAACCCAGAAGACTGCAAGAGAGCTAATGTCCTGCCAATATTTAAAAAGGGCAAGTTGGACAACCTGGGTTACCCTGATGTCAATCCTAGGCAGAATAATGGAATGGAAAATAATGTCAGATAAAGCATTAAAGGACGGGATTATAGCTAAGGCAAGTCATCACGGTTTTTTAATTGAAAATGGGTCTTGTCAGATCTGATTTCATTCTTTAATGAGGTGGCAAGTTTGGTTAAAAAAGCTAACTGCGTAGATGTAATAGACGTAGACTTCGGTAAGAGGTATTTGATTTCATGACGTCCAACGTTCTGACGTAAAATTCAGCCTATACCATATCCGTAAATTACACACTAAGTGGATTAAAAACTGGCTGACTGATAGATCTCAGTCATTAATGGAGAATCCTTACTGAATGACACTGTTCCTCGTGGGCTTCTGCAGGCATTGGTCCAGCGCTTTCATTTCATTAATGATCTGGAAGTAAATACAAAATCACGGCTGACAAAATATGCAGGTGTCCCAAAGATTGGCGAGTGATAAATAATGAGGACAGAATAGTTATACAGAGCGACCTGGATTTCAATCGAGCCAAATGCAAAGTTATACATCTAGGAACAAGGAAGGCAGGCCTTGCCCCAGAATGAGGAACTGTATCCTGGAAAGCAGTGTCTTTGAAAAGGATTTATGGGTCAGTGGATGAGCAACTCAACAAGAGCTCCCAGTGTGATGCTGTGGCAAAAAGGGTTTATGCGACCCTTGGATGTTTCACCTGTGTATATGGCATTGGTGAGACTGATACTGGGATGTTGCAGCCAGTTCTGGTGTCAGTGTTTTTAAAAAGGGTATTGAAAAAATTGGAGAGGGTGCAGAGAAGAGCTCCAAAAATGATTTAATGGCTGCAAAAAATGTCGTTGAGTGAGAGGTTAGGGCTTGCCTAGACGTAAATAATCCAGAATAAGGTGGTATACGTGGGGGGTGCGTGGGTGAACATAAAACGGATTAACTATTGATTAAGTCTACGTGTGGACACTCTTATTCTAGAGTTAGCTCAATCCATTTGTGTCCGGGGTTGGGATAGCAGGATGGCTGCAGATCGGGAATGAGGGGCATGGGCAGAGCTGTGTCTGGGGGAAGCTTTGATAGACACAGACTGGCTCAAGCCAGGACTATTGGGCTCTCTCTCCCATGAGCCCCTGCAGCGCCCCCTGCTGGCCCTGGGGTCTGTGTCCCCTCCATATCTCAGTGGGATATTCCCTGCCATCTCCCCTCTCAGACCCAACTCTTCCTAGAGGGTGCCAAGCTCCAGCTCCACGTTGACATGTTTGGCTCTTTCCCAGGTCGTGGTGGGTGTGAACGTCAAGGAAGAGAACTCAGAGAAGATGGCATCCTCTGGGGCATTATGGGAATATCCTGGCTTCCAGCTGAAATGGCTGCAGCCCCATCCTGAGTGTGTATCCCAGGATGCAGGACAGGGTGAACCTCCAGGACCCCAGAACAATGCACCACATGTCCCCAGAGAGGCGCCCCAGCCCCTCCAGGAAATAGGTATGGGGCAGAATGCGGGGGGCTGACAAGGGACAGGAGTGACCAGAGTTGGGCATATGGAGGGCACAGGCTGGTTCGGGCAGGCCGCAATGCTGTGGCCACATTGTGGACAATTCAGTGGTCTGCTGGTGTCAGTGCAGGGAGGGGATGTAACTGATCAGCCCCGTGCCCCACCCCTGAGCAGGGAGTCTCCTCCTTTGGCTGAGTTACAGCAGCACCCCCAACAGGATCGGGGCCCCGTCATGTTAGGCACGGCACAGACACACAGTGACTGGGGACCTTGTTGTGCCAGGCATTGCATGGACACATACGACCAAGATTGGGGCCCCGTCGTGCCAGGCACTGCACAGACACAGTCCCTGCCCTGAACAACTCATGTCTAAACAGACAAAAGTTGGGAGGGGAAACAGAGGCGCAGTGACATACCCAGGGTCACACAGCAGCTCCATGGTGGTGGAGCCAGGAATTGAATCCAGGCGTCCTGAGTCCCACCCCACTACCTGCCCCGTTATCCCAGGCTGCATCTGCCCTGCCTTCCCTCCCAACTACCCCTATGTGGCCCCGTCCTCTCACAGCCCCTCCTTGTCCCCAGCCACCCTGGATTCTGCCCTCGCTGCAGAGTGGAGTCCTGGGCACCGGGGCCGTCGCTCGCCCTCGTCAGCCTCCAGCTGAGCCATACCCAGCTCTGTTTCCTTCCGTCAGCATTTCCAGCGCTGCTGCCTGAGCTCAACTCCTCTCCCCCACCCGCGACGGAGGAGGGGCAAGGGTCCCTGGAGCAGCCAGCACTGAGAGGAGAGTCCCGGGCACTGCAGGGGCCGGTGCAGTTTGAGGACGTGGCTGTGACCTTCACGGAGGCGGAGTGGGAGCTGCTGGATGAGGAGCAGAGGGAGCTGTACAGGGACGTCATGCTGGAGAACTATTGGAGCCTCCAGTCGCTCGGTAAGGGGCTGTGTGTCTCGGGGGAAGGTCTGGGCCAGCTCCTGGTGCCTGGGATTCGGCCCCGGAAAGCCAGCAGCCCAGGGAGAATCTGAAGGAGCTCGGTATGTTTTAGTTTGTCCCAGAGGAGTTAAGAGGTGATGTGATCCTAGCCTGTAAGCACCCACACAGGGAGGGGACTGCTGGGAAGAGAGGGCTCTTTAACATCCAGACAAAGGCAGGGTCTGACTGGGAGCAGATGGGAGATGAATTCTGGCTGGGAATTGGGGACCAGTGTTTATCTGGGAGGGGAATGAACATTGGGAGAGCTCCCCTCAGGACAGGGTGGATTCTCGCTCACTGGGAGTCTGTCAGTGGAGATGGGGCGTCTCTGTCCCAAAGCCCCGCTCCAGCTCAGCCAGGAGTTTACTGAGCCAGAGGCAGGAATCGCTGGGAGAGATTCTCTGGCTGGGTTAGGCAGGAGGCCGGGCTGGATGAGCACATTCTTCGATTCCCTTTATTTCTATGGGGTCAGCCCCCTGGTGCCTAGTGTGCAGCGCCTGTCACAGAGACGCTGTCACTTCCTATCTAAAAGGAGATCCAGGAATGGACCTGCCTGGTGTAAATCCCTTCCTGGGGGCTGCCACATCTGCCTGTCCTTGTTCTTGGGGATGGGCTCTGGTACCGGCCCTTTGCCAGGCTGCCGTCGGGGTAGGGGAGAAAGGAGGCACTACCCTGCCCACTCCCTGCTGCCACTACACACCCACAGCCTCCCTGAGAACATGGCTTCCCTGATCTCAGGCTCTCCAGCAGGGGTCACCCTTCCCACCATTCCCAGTGGGTCCCAGACATCGCTTCCCTCCCATGGGGATCACACCTCCCCCTGTGCCGAGAACCCCACCCATGTCACCTCTGTCCTTTCTCTCCCCCACGCACAGGGTTCCACATTCCCAAGCCAGATGTAATCTCCTGCATGGAGCAAGGGCAGGCGCCATGGGTCCCGGATCCCCTGCCCACCCCTAAAAGGTGCCACAGTACAGGTAAGAAACATTGGATCAACTCGGACCCACCATAATCCCGAACACAGAACTGGGATGCAGCTCTCCCACTCGTATTCTGTTCCCAGCTGGTCCCTCCAGAGAGACCGTCATGTCCCCAGCTGCCGTTCTGTAGCTAGCAGCGCCAGCCCCTCTGCCAAGGGGTGTTGTAACTAGATCAGGGTGACATTTTTTGGACAAATACAATTTTCACTAAAAAATGCATTTTTTGTGGCTCCGAAACTATTCCTGAATTTGGGTTGAATTCAATTAGAAGTTTCAGCTGGAAAAAAAACCATGGGAAACACTTAAAAAAAAAAAAAAACAACCTCTCAAGGTTTTGAGGTGACCATTTTGAAATGTTTCGTTTCTACTTTTCTGAAGTTTGTCCAATTAAAAAAAAGAAAAGGGTGAAAAACACCCAAAAACAACTGAATTGAAACAAAACACTTTTTTAAAAGATCAGTGTTATGCCAGCCAAAAGGTTTCTGTAGATCTGAAACCAAATTTTTTCAAGTTCTCCAGTTTGATCAAAAGATTTGGAAAAAAAAAGCAGTTTTGGTTCAAAACTAACACACATTTTTTTGTGGGGGGGATTTTTTGGTTGAGCCTGTGAACTACAAAATCAGTTATTCACTCAGCTCTAATTATAGTCTAACAGCTTTGGTTCCACGGTTGGGCAGGCAAATTTGCAGGAAAATTTTTCTACACAGTTTGGAGAGTATCGGGGACTGTCTGAGCACAAAGCCAGGAAGCAGCTACTCGATGGGGATTTCTAAGCTGTGTCTAACAGCTCAATCTCTGTCCCCTTCAAATTATTATAGTATGGTTAACTTCAGATCAGGGCCCCATTGTGCCCGGGTGCTGCATAGACATACAGTGCCTGAGATCGGGGCCCCATTGCACTGGGTACTGCCCAGACACGCAGTGAGAGACAGTCCCTGTCACAGAGTTTACCCTCTAAATAGACAATACAAAAGGAAGGATTATTTTGGTTGTTTTACAGGTGGGGAACTGAGCCTCAGAGAGAGAGTCAGTGCCCTGGCTCACTAGGTGCATTAAAAGAAAGTAACTTGTGCTGGAGATAATTTACTTATTATTGTGATATTTTGCATGTGGTGTCATTGCAGGGCCCTGTCACTCCAGACATTGCACAAATACTGGACCAGAAGGCAAAGCGCTGCCCTAAGAACTGCAGTCTAAAAATACCACTACAGGAATGGTGCCGGGGGGGAAGGGTTGGAATGGCATCAAATATATTGGTCTAGCAGCTGTAATTCCCGAATGCCCCATTCCATGTTTTTTCCATTGGTTTAGGGCAATCCAGGCTGTTTGGCTGAGTCCAGAGGGCTCAGGGGTTTATGTGTGATTGACCCAAGTAGAATGGAAGGTCAAATAAGGGACAGGAGTGGGTTTCTCTGGCCCACTGAGAAGATCCAAGTTGTGCTCCCCTTCCCTGCCCCTGCTCTGCTAGCCAGGTATAAAATGGCTGGATTTCACTCCAAAACTATGACTTCCACCCTGGGCACTTCAGTTCAGTCTTCTTCGCAGGCAGCCGAAAGGGGATTTCTTTTTATACTATATTCTCCCAGCATGCTTTACCACGGACAAGGCTGTTTAGATGGCTGTCATGGTGGATTGTATTTCCCAGCATGCCTTGTCACAGGTAGGGCTCGTAAAATGGCTGCCATGGTGGATGAAGCTTCCCTGAATGCCTTGCCACAGGCAAGACTACAAAGATGGCCATTATAATGGTGGAAGGTTCCTAGGATAGGGCCGAGTTAGACAGCCCCTCACGGCTGGCTTTCCTGTGTTCCAGCCAGCGTCAGGGCCACGAGAGGTGGCAAGGAGCTGAGGTGGGGGCAGTAGGAAGCTCCCGAGAGGGTGGCGCTGCCCCATGTCCCCTCCCCACAGCCGCTGAGCCCATGGGAGCAGTGCGACCGCTGCCCCAAATGCGGTAAAAGCTTCCTCCCCACCTCGGCCCTGCAGATGCATCTGAGGAACCGTTCTGTAGAGAGGCCATGCCCGTGCAGTTCCTGCAGGCTGCAGTTCAGCCAGGGTTACAATCTGATCAAGCACCAGGCCCCGCACATGTGGGGAGCGCCCCTACTGGTGCCCTGACTGCAGCCGGTTTCGCTGTCAGAGCAACTCCATCATGCACCGCTGCATGGCCCATGCCTGCACCGAGACCGCCAAGAGCGTCACCGGAAGCTCCAATTTTCTCAAGCGTGGGGCCCGCACGGCCGGCCGGCCGGCCGCATCTTTGCCACCAATGTGGGAAGAGCTTCGTCTCCAGGTCCCACCTGCAGGTGCGCTGCCTCAGCCACAGCGGGGCGAGGCCCAACAAGTGCCCCCAGTGTGGGAAAAGCTTCATCCGAGCTCTCTCCAAGCTCATCGGGCATCAGCGCATGCACGCGGGCGAGCGCCCCTTCACATACCACGAGCGTGGGAGGGGCTTCAGCCAGAACTCGCACCTTGCCCAGCACAGGAGAGTCCACGTGTCCTGATGGCCCAGGTGGTGCTGGGTGGCCGGCGTGGGACGGCACTCATTGCTCACAGACATCAGACATGGTTTAGAAGAAGAACAAACACACAACCCTGGCAAACTGAAATGGGCAGCTCTGTGCTGCGTGGGTCTGCCCGTGAGCCTGCCCTTCAAAGTGAAAATAAAATAAAGCATCATTTTAAAGAAATATTCCATGGGCAGCACTGACTTCAGATACTGGAGGGTAGGTGGGTGCTAGGGCTCCTGGGTGGTAGGGAGGGGTTGGGGAAGCCAGAAGGTAGGTGGGTGCTAAGTAGGGGGGATTGGATGGATACAGGGTGCTTGTGGGAGAGCTGGTGGCTACTTGGAGATAGATGGCGTTGGGGGAGGGTTGAGAGGTGCTGGGGGAGTAGTTGCGTGCTTTCATAGCTGGATAGTTTGGGGGGGTCCTGTAGGACAGACTCTTGGATGTTAGGAGTCTCCAGGGGTGCTGGAGGGGGTGTTAAGGGGGTACCTGGGGAGGGGGGCAGTAGAGGTGCTGAGGTTGTTGTGGGTGGGGGTATGGACGAAGGTTGAAGGAGCTCTTTGAGGGTTAGCAAGAGATCAAGAAGGGGTATTGCTTTCGATGGGAGATGGATACTCACAGCTGTAATGCTAAGCATGGGCAGAAGCTGCTGGCAGGATCGGGGCACTAATAACCCAGTAATTATTGATCATAAATAAAGCTGCGATTGAGTCACAGAGGTTAGGGAAGTCAAAGAAGCTATGACTTCCAAAGGCCTCCATGACTTCAGCCAGCACCGGCTGGGAGCTGCAGGGTCCCCTGCCACCTCAGCCGCGGGCAGCACAGGGGCACCCCCGATGCTCCCCTCTGCTGCAAGCAGCACAGGGGCACCCCCCCAGCTCCTGCCTGCTGCCCTCCTCCTGTGGGCAGCAGGGGGAACCCCCACAGCTCAGGGCCACCACAGGAGGCAGTGGGACCCCCGCAGCTCAGAGGCCCCAGCAGAGGGGGACCCTGGAGCTCCCAGCCACACGCAGCTGCCCAGCCAGTCCATTTTGTCAAGGATATTTTTAGTAAAAGTCAGGGACAGGTCATGGACTTCCGTGAATTTTTCAATATTGCCGGTGACCTGTCCGTGACTTTCTAAAAATATCCACGACAAAAGACACAAAACAAGCACTGAAAAGGACATTCTGAGGAAACATTTTTCAGCATTGGGTCCAAAGGGGGATTAATGGCCTCGACTTAACTGGCAACCAATTAACTCAAGGTGAAAAAACAGACAATTAAAAAAAAACCCTAGTGAAGACAAGTCCATGTGCATGGACGCTGCTGTCAGCTTTCAGTCTGGCTACATGGGGTTAGCTTGCACCTCTCAGGCTTTGTCAACAGACAGACATTACCATTACTATACTGCTATGGTGAAAACAGTACAATTCCCGCCCACCCCCGAGTGAGGATGCTGCTGTACTGTTATAAAAGTGTTTAAACTGGGAATACCATAAACCAGTGTAAGGCACCTTTATAACTGTATCCACACCAAGCATTGTACCCGCTTTAGCTACACTGGTGTAGATTGCATCCCTTCCCACAATACTTAAATCGGTACCTAAGCTGCATCTAGGCCAGCCATTGCAAGTGCAAACTAAAACAATACAAACCAGGTTTAAATTTATTCAGATCAGACTAGAAGATGACAGTGGTCCCTTCTGTCCTTATAATCAATGAATTGGGAAATTGAATGGAATAACTGTCGTGGAATAGCTGCCTCTGAGGACATTTCTGTTCTTTTTGGGATTTTTTACTCTGGGCGGGGAGCTCTGTGTCCAGAGTCGGGGCTGCTGCTGGGTTCCCGGTGGGGAGCGTGCAGCCAAGAGTCCGGGGGCCAGCCATGCTCCCAGCAGGAAACAGGGAGCCAAGAGTGCAGGTGGCATCCAGGCTCCTTGCGGGTAGCCCAAGCGACAACCTGGCTGGGAGTGGAGAACCAGAGGGGCAGCCGGGCCTGACTGGGAGCAGGGAGCTGAGACCCCAGCGGGCAGGCCAGCTGGGAGCTAACATAGGTCAACTTAAGTTTTTAGCATAGACCTGGATGTATGGAAAGTCTGGACCACTGATTCCCCCCTCCAATTTTGCAGAGACCTGTGGGCTCCTTCTCTTCCCAGGCTGTGATGCCCTCACCCACGTGGTGCTTTCCTGCGGGAACCAGGGCCTGGGTTTCCCCATTACAAGAAAACCTGCAATTCCCACGCACTCCTCAAGTGCCTGCGGGAAAGCAGCACACGGGCAAGGGCATCGGGTGAGAAGAAACCGCACCGGAGTGAATCCGAATTGGCTGTGCTCTTTGTGCACAAGGAGGACGCCCCCTCCCCAAGGGCAGGGGAGGGTTGCGGGGGCCATAGCCACCCCAAAACTTGCTTTAGTCCCCCCATAGCCACCCCTTAGCATTGGCCATTCTCCCACCGCCCAGCTGTAAAGGCTGAGCAGAGAGCGCAGAGGCTGCTGGCCAGGCACCCAGCTGCAGTGCGGGGGACATACTCCCCTAAGGGATGTCTGTGTCCCAACCATGTGCTCCTCTGAACCTGGCAGCTTTCCCTTAGCCCTTAGTTTAAAAACTGTTCTACAACCTTTTTCATTTTAAGTGCCAACCATCTGGTACCATTTTGGTTTACGTGGAGCCCACCCTTCCTGTACAGGCTCCCCCTTTCCCAAACGTTTCCCCAGTTCCTAATAAATCTAAACCCCTCCTCCTCCCTACACTATCGTCTCATCCACGCATTGAGACCCTGCAGTTCTGCCTGTCTGACTGTCCCTGTGGGAGGAACTGGGAGCATCTCAGAGAATGCTACTATGGGGGTCCTGGACTTCAATCTCTTACCTAGCAGCCTAAATTTGGCCTCCAGGACCTCTCTCCTATCCTTCCCTATGTCATTGGTACTGTGGCAGATTGCCGGCACTACTACGATGGGTCTCACGCTTTCTCTTCTGGGGGGGGGGGGGGTTCAGGGCACCATTTCTTGCTCCTATTAAGTGCCCCACTTGTGTCCTAGAGGAGGGGAGTGGAGAGGAGAGGAAGGGACCTGGGCCCACCATCTACTGCGGGTCCCAGCCCAGGGGCCCTAGGGATAGCAGTAAACCACTAGAACTAGCGGTTCCTTCCCCTGGGCTACGTCCTTCTCCTGCCCTTCAGCTTGTGGGGCTTTCTGCCCTCCCTCTGCACAACCCAGGTGTCCCTGTACCCAGGGTCTTAGTCTTCTTAGCCCACCGCAGCACTTCTCCAAACTCTCCTCTGCTTCTCTCCAAACTGCTCTCTGCTTCAACCAATCCACTCTGCTTCAACTCCTCCAAACTGCTCTCTACTCCCACATCAATCCACTCCACTTCAACTCCTCCTCTTGGCTGATTGAAGCAGGGGGGTTTTATCATGTGACTGGCTTCAGGTGCTTTAATTAATTTATAGCAAACTTTCTTCCCTCTACAGGGAATAAGGCTCCCTTCTAACACTCTCCTGCTGCCCTCTGGCCATGCTGTATCACAGTACCTACATGTACCATGATCACCAGCTCCTGCCCAGCACCACACATAGGCCTATCTAGATGTCTTGAGAGGTCCGCAACCTTCGCACCAGGCAGGCAAGTCACCATGCGGTTCTCCTGGTCATCGCAAACCCAGCGATCTATGTTTCTAATGATTGAATCGCCCATTACTAATTCCTGTCTCTTCCTAATAACTGGAGTTCCCTCCCCCAGAGAGGTATCCTCAGTGTGAGAGGATACCCCAACATCATCTGGAAGGAGGGTCCCAACATCATCTGGAAGGAGGGTCCCATTTCCCTCTGCTCTAGTTGGAAGTTCTCCTGTCCTAAGGCTTTCATCCTCCTCCACAGCACAGAGGCTGTCAGACTGGGGGTGGGACCATTCTAGTGTGTCCCAGAAAGTCTCATTTATGTACCTCTCTGTCTCCCTTAGCTCCTCCAGCTCAGCCACCCTGGTCTCCAGAGCCCGTCTCCAGAGCTCCTTGCACCGAATGCACACACATGCCACCTGCCCATAGGGCAGGTAATCATACATGCTGCATTGGGTGCAATAAACTGGGTAGTCCCAGTTCTGCCTGCATTCTCTTTTTACTCCTGAAGCTTGTTCCTTTGTTGTTGTTTTGTTTGTATTAGGGGGTGGTTTGGGCTTTAAGTTTAAAGAAGTTTAAGGAATGGTAAGTGTATGTAGCTCCCCCCCTCACTCTCTCCCTGTAAACTTCCTCGCAAAACTCCCGTTAGTCGCTCCTGTTTGCTAGCTGCTCTGGTCGCTTAAGAGCAGGCTTTTTAAAGCCCTGGTCTTCCTGAGTAGCCCCGGCCCCTGCTTAAGGGTTGATGGGTGCTAAAGGGCTTAGGGATCAAAGCTTCGTTAAGAAGCTTTCAGTTCTCAGCCTTGCCTAGCAGGCCACTAGGCTCAGCGCCCACACCCTGTGCCCCTGCCCAGACATAACACAGTCTATCCCCCTCTAATGTCCCCCCCCATCCGCCTGACCCATAACCCCAGCTCCCTGCCCCCACTCAGCCCAAACAGGCACTCCCTGACTCCCCTCCCCCCTGCCATGGGGGCTGTTGCACTCATTGGTGCAAGGAGCATGTTAGGTCTCAGAGGGAGCTGGGAGGGGAAGTTCTCTCTTGTGGGACTTGTCCCCTTGAGCATAAGGGCCAAGGGGGCGGGGCAGCATCTCTCCCCTGGGGCTCCTGAAGAGGGACATACCTGGGCTCCTGCTCCAGTGTGTCTGTCTGCTCTGGTCTCTTAGTCTGCCCCTCCCAACTAGGGATACGTGTGCCGTCTGCCGTGTGCAGACGGGGGAGCGTCCCTA